AACTGTTGCTTTTTACTGCTAAACAGAAGTTTCCCCAGAACTAACAAAACACGAAATCATTCCTTTAGCGAAGTGTAAAATTTATGTAGACCATCATTTTATTAAAAGAAGCACCAGAAAACAAACTACTAATAAGATGCTTAGAATCTCCACCTGTAATCAAACTTAGACGAGAGAAGAAATTATTAGAGACTGCAACTTGCATATCATATTTACACAAGCATTTTTTGCAAGACATTACTACACAACCATAACTATTGGATAACATAGACTATTGAAGCAACACTAACAATGGAAAAAACCAACTTCAATGCTGCATCTATTATTTCCATTTCCATCAAATTATCATAATTAATGACTATGATTGGAAGGCCACATTCATAAGCAAAATCCCCAACTCACAAAAGCATTACATTTACACCAAGGGAATTTAAGAAAATGGTACATTCATTATGAACATACCATCTTTATCTTGTCTCCCTTGGAAAGCATCTCTGAATAGAAGTAACCTGATTGTATCACCAAATCCCTTGTATGCAGCCCTAGTTGGAAATACCAGAGAAAATGCTTATAATAATGGATAACTTCAGCAAAGAAATGAGATAACAATATAAAGAACTATCATGAAGATCAACTAGTAAAACATTCATTTTTAAATTACACAAACCAACACCAGAGGGCAAGAACTCTGCCTTCCGTTTGACAAAAACAAAATTTTCAATGTCCAATAGGGAATGAGGAACGCCCCAAATTGCATGCAATACCAGGAATAAAAGATTTAAGATACTGAGAGTAGAAAGGAACACCAAAGCTTGAAAACTAAAAACTAAATCAGAATCAAGAGTGGTATACAATGTCAAACAATGATACAGTCTCGCAGTTTAGACTTGTTAAGATGACACTACTAATAGGAAGTTAGGAGCAAGCATAAATAAAGAGGGAAAATTACCAATCCAGCTATAACCAAAGCTAGAAAACACGGACATCAAACTTCACATATCGACGCCATACTTGAGTCCTGATGTAACACACCACTAAGACCTGTGCAACACCAATCTACCGAGTTGGATGTTCACCACTTTACTCTCCACTCTACAACTAAAAGACAACACTTCTTCCCCAGTTTTCCGTGTAGTTTATTAAATGGGATCTTTTAAAGAAGTTTGGGAGTTACTATGTAAGAAACGAATTTCTGACCAAATAGCCTATCAACTCCTTTATTCGAACAATGTGAAATCAGAAAGGAAGAGGAACGCATATCCTTATCAGATCTAGCACAGTGTAGTGTTTACAACCTTTTTAGTCATCAGAATTATTTTTGTACTTTCTATTGTATGTTGAATTACTGGAATCTATTATATGTGATAGTGGTATATATGAAATATATGGAGTTTGTTTTTGTGTTGTGATCTGATAGTCTTAGTATTTCTACATGTAACCAAGGCTAGAGCAACTCCCATGGACATGTAAAACTTCCACATTTTTGCTCACCGATGGTGTATATCTTCTACTTAGAATGGTACAGGATCTTCTCCTAAGATCTTGGTTTAACATATATAAAATAGTTGACGCTTAAAGTTCTCATGTTCACGTCACATACTTAATTAACTTTACCTAGACTGCCCGAAGCCAGCTGAAAATGGCATCCAAAATAATTAGTTTCTTTACAATTGTTCAGTGAGATACATAAGACTAAAATTAAAAAACTGAGAACAAAAGAGGGAAATATTTTGGAATTTGTCTGTTTATTAAGTACTCGTGGTTGGGGAAGTAGCCAGATCTCAGGCAAGGCAAGAAGAAATATCTATACGTAGAAGGATAATTTCAGTCCCAAGAAAACTATAAGTGAACTTGCCATGAAACTTACACAGACCACAAGCACATCCAGAGATCAGAACCAAAATATATCAAAGAGTCATGGGAGATTTGTCACTTAAAAATCGAGAAGATGATGGAGTTTCAACTCAAAACCGAAAACTCAAACTATAAGTCTATAAATGCTGGGGGTGCTAATCATACCAGTGAAGAGGGCTCCTCCCATCATTATCTGGTACATTAAGGTCCGCATGATACTTCGCAACAATGTGATTTACAAAAGCTGTTTGTCCATACTGAGATGCAACATGAATTGCCTGTAAAGGAAGTACACATACTTCAACAGTTGATATAACTGAAAAAACAACCTTCAAGGATAGCCTTATCCAAGAAAATTAGTTTCTAGAAGGTTCTAAAATCAGGATTTCACACTGACAATTTTTGAATTATGTAATAAAATCTAGCATGGACTCTAGGTCAGGGAAAATGGAAGAAGATGAATAATGGTCAAGAGGAAGCATGAGAACAAGAAGCCTGTAACTGATTATGAAACTTGGATAAAAAGAATTTAGGAATAATTAAGGGAGAGGTTCTGTAAAATCCATCTGCACCAAGTGTACCTGCCGATACAAGAACAGGTGATGGATCATTTATTTCATTGAAACCTTATACTTGGAGACTAAATAAACAAACAAAACATAGTCCTTTTAATTCAAAGTTTGAACCAAATTCTCTTTTAGGTTTTCACCTATGGGTTTTCAGCTACAAGCCTATGGCACTCACTCGTTAAGAAAAACAATTAGAAACTTTATTAATTCTGTTGCATCCAACTTGGATGTTCTGGAAGCTACACAGAGACCTGACAGTGGTATCAGTTCCATCATGGAACCAATGCAAAAAACATAGTTCCAGCTTAGCCTAAACGGCGAGGAGACTAAGGACATTAGAAAGTTTAACCACATCTTGTATTGCAAATACCAACTTATACAGATGGATTTGAAAATGACAACAATAATACCGAAATTATGAATAGTTGAACATTACAAATGAACAGCAAGTATTATATATTACCCGATAACCATTAACATCAGCAGCCTCGACCCGCGCACCATTCTGCAACAACACATCGGCAGCTGCAATTGATCCCCGCACTGCCGCCCAATGCAACGCAGTCTGTCCCGAATTGTCGGCCGCGTGGACATTTCCCCCGTGCTACACATACCACAAATAAAAAAACACCATACTTGACTTCCAAATGAACAATTAAAAACTCGACCCTCATTTAATAAAAAGGCAAATAATAATACCTCGATGATATATTGAACAATATCAGCGAAATTGTTGAGAGCAGCCCATTGAAGCGCGTAATATCCGTTGCCGTCCGGCTGGTAAACGGAAACGCCGTCAACTTCAACGAATTTCCGGAGTTTGTCAAAATCACCGTAAGCGCAAGCAGCGTAAACATCGACTATGGCTGGTTCGTTAGGGTTTCGAAAACCAGAAGTTTGCTGATCATTGGAGTCGGAAACGATCTCGATCTCTGATAAAGCCATTGATAATGTGAAATTAGAAAATTCTGGATCCAAGTGTTGAGGTTAATAATAGTTCATTCAATTATCGTGAAGCTTTTTTTGCATTTACTGAGGAAGGTAGATATCATTCAAAGCATAATTTACTCTAGTGTGTTAATTACTTTACGGCTGCTACCGCGCTCAACACGATGAACTTTAATAAGGATCATCAACTAATACAAATTGAAATAGAAGGGATTGGGCATATCCCATTTAACTAAGATAAATTTTATTTTTAATTTTATATGTTCTTTTTTATAAGAAATTCTTTTATATATTAGTCTATTTAAATTACTACTCCCTCCATTTGATTTGATATGAAATTTAAGGATATAAAAAAAACTTTTAAATTTTGTATTCTAAATTAAAGTTGGATTAAATGTACAAAAATTATCCCAAAATCTTATAGCATTATAGAAAGTTGAAATTACAATGTTAGTAAAAAAAGATAAAGGTAATTCTTTTTAGGAAAAATGCTTAAATATGTCATCGAACTTTTAAAAAAGACTCATTTATGTCACCCGTTAAGAGTTTAGCTCATTTATGTCACTGTTGTTAAAGAAAAACTCCATCCATACCTTTTTTAACTCCAATTTTACAAAATCATTTTTACTCACCAAACAAAGTTTAACACTTTTCTATGCTTTTTCTCTTCTTTTTGAAATTGAGGAAGTAAATTTTTCAAAACTTTCGTAGTAGGTTAAATATACCTCAAAGTTCTAAATTATTTAAAATGGATCGATATTAATCATACACGGTCAAAAATATGTGTATCTACTTGAATGTGCATTTATATATCTTAAAAAAATATAAATATTAGCTAATATTAAAAAGACACAATTATATATAGTAAAAAAGAAACTTTTAAATATAAAATATCAGGGGAAAAAAAATACAAAAGACAAAAAGGTAAAGAAGCAATAGTTGGTTTAACTTGCATTCACAAAATTAAAATATATATATATATATATATATTTTTTTTGAGTTTTCTCTCAGTTATTTTAACTATGTTATTTTTTTATTGACTCACTGAATCACCTAACCGTATATATATATCTAACCGAATATTATGAGGGGTATTGATAGATGATACATATGTTAATCTAGAACTCATTAGTTCAATTGATAGTTATCTTAACTATGTTATTTTTTTTATTGAATCACTGAACCATTCAACCGGATATTATGAGGAGTATTGATAGATGATACATATGTTAATCTAGAACTCATTAGTTCAATTGATAGTGAAAATGTTCGAGAATAATTGTGTTTTACTTCAAGTCATTTGAACACATTAAAAAACAAATGAGACAAATACATAGTTTGTTTTCATTCCTTCAATCTAAATCATTACAATACAAACACAATAAAAGATATTTATAATTAAAAAAATCGATCAAAAGCCAATAATGTTTTAAAAAAACAAATTAGAGATGATTCAATAATTCAATAGAAAAATAATATAGAAAAAATTAAATAAAAAAAAAGCCAAATTAATTTAGAAATTTATTTATACGTTCGACCTTGAACAAGTAAACACGTGACTCCTAAATATTGTCCTACCATTGTGGAAAAAGAAAAGGAATATAGGAGCAAACAAATTAGACCATACCATTTGTGCATATATGTGGACTGTGGTTGATGTTAGGCAGTGATAGGCTGATAGCAGCACTAGCAACTTTCACTGTTTTATCTTCTCCAATAATTTCTGTTGCCATTAGGGACTGAACACTTGCCAGCGAAACAGCAATGGCGGCGGCAAGAATCATGGTATCAGCCAGCAACACTTTAACGGCTTCGCTCCTATCGAAAGGTCCATTACGAAGGCCCAACAATTTCAGCCTTTGCTTCAGAAACGGACCGGTGCAAAAGAAGCGTCTTTTCACTTGCAGTGCAATCTACAATCCCCAGATTCAGACTATAGAAGAAGGACAGCCAGAAACCCTAGATTACCGCGTGTTTTTTGCAGACAATTCCGGCAAAAAGGTAAATATTTGTCTCTACCTTGACAGTGGATTTCTCATTATCGGGATATTGTAATCTGGAAATTTCACTATTCTGTGAATGAGCCTGAATAGAGCGGAGTAGTTACAGAGAAACACTTAGCTTTGGCCTCTAGTACCTTGGATTGAGATGTAATCCATTGATGGATCGACATACTGATGAAATGCCTAATCGCGAGATATGTTATCCATGAAATTTGTTCAGTGAGACATTTCCACATTCTGTAGTTTAACATGATCCGAAGTAGGGAAGTCAACGATAAGAACCATTTAAAAATAAGTAATTGCTTGAAAGCTATGAGGATAAATAGCATATTCATCTTTATTATTTGTTAGCGTTTACTTCGTGAAAAGAACAGAGCTTTTGGTCTGTCTAGTTACAATAGTTGCAACATATTATATCATGTCTTTGTAATGTGCAGATATCCCCTTGGCATGACATACCACTACATTTGGGTGATGGTGTTTTCAATTTTGTTGTTGAGATCCCCAAAGAATCAAGTGCAAAGATGGAAGTTGCTACAGATGAGCAACACACTCCTATTAAACAAGACACAAAGAAGGGGAAACTTCGATACTATCCGTAAGCCTATTATGCGACTTTTCTACATTCTTTTAGTATGTTAAACATTGTCAGATGTAATTATCTTCTTGCTTTCCTACCCATTCCGCTTTTAGTTGTCGTGGGATTTTGACCCATTGCCATTTGCAAGCAGTTGTCTTTATGCTTCTTGGCTTCCTACCCATTCCACTTTTAGTTGGCGTGGGATTTTGACCTATTGTCATTTGCAAGCAGTTGTCTTTATGAGTTAACTGCAGTTTTCTGTGGGTCAATATGTTTAGGTCTGTTACATATGCTTTTTGTTAAGCAATGACCGATACCCTCGCTCTTCAATCTTAGACTGATGAGATTTGTACCTCACTGATGATGTGTCGTCATAGCTGTCTGGAGTTGTCTAGTTTCTGATGCTTTTTTTTTTTTTGATGTTATGCATTTCTTATGCATCTTTCAGATATAATATTCACTGGAACTATGGATTGCTTCCTCAAACATGGGAAGATCCTACTTTTGCGAATACCGAAGTTGAAGGGGCATTAGGTGATAATGACCCTGGTATGGTTGCAATAGTTCTAAAAAGTTAACAACTTTCTTCTGGTCCATCTATCAAAACAAAAAGAGTAGAAAAAACAATTGTGTTAGAGATTGTCTTATTTAGTTGAATCTCTCTATGTTTTTCTCATTTGTAGTTGATGTTGTTGAGATTGGGGATAGCCGAGGTAAAATTGGCCAGGTTCTGAAGGTCAAACCTTTAGCTGCTCTGGCAATGATTGATGAAGGAGAACTTGACTGGAAAATAGTTGCTATTTCACTAGATGATCCAAGAGCTTCACTTGTTAATGATGTTGATGATGTGGAAAAACATTTTCCGGTAAGTTTGAAGTGCAATAAAGCTGCTATCTTTTGTTGACTCTCCTTTCTCTCGCACTGATTATGCTTGCGCAACACATTTATGCATCATTTCTCTATCTCTCGCTTTCTTTGTTGTGCTGTGATATGCCTCTTCGGTTAAAGATAATTATTTATCTCCTTTTCAATTTTCTGTTATTACCTCAGACTTGTCTTGTAAAGTCTTTACGGTTACTTTATCATTTTTAATGAAGAGTTTGGTTAACTTATCATAAGAACCAGCTCACTAGAGCTTGAAGTCTTGATCGTTTCCTAGGAACATCGATAGAAATAACAGAGACTATATGCAAAAAATGAGTGATCTTGATATCTTTTGAAATTAGCTGAATACTTTGTCGGATTGAGAGGAGTTAAAGAAAGTTAGCATTATTCAAGGTTATCTATCCAAAGCTATGGAAAAGCATTAAAGTTGTGATTATAATGGGAGAGAGTAGGCACTGACATGGAGATCCCGATGAGTGGAAGCGGCCGTTATAGGATATTGGCTTCCCTATCAACTATAGTTCCACTACTAAGAAATAGCAGAGGCATGCAAAATACTATATATATATGTGAATCTTGCTTTTGTTTCCCCAACCAGATAGTAACATTGGTATAACTTGCTTCGTGGAGACAAATTTTTTTGTATAAGTAGTGTTCCCATATTCTTTTTAGTCTCATTTTGTTACCTTTGCTATCACATTGTATGAAAAAAAAATCATGCCCATCTAGTAAGTCCTCCTTTAGATTATTGTGAGTTATATGATACCTCTAACTGCTGATAGTCAACTTCCTGTTTGAAGTAACTGTGTTGTCCCTAATCTCACTGTTTGACATGTTGTCGAGATAAACTCTATACTGGAATTTCACTACTCCAGATGTTTGGCACATCTTATCGCTACTGATTAAGATTCTTACTGTTAATATCAGTATACATGTAATGATAAGTTTTAACGTTCTTGATTATGGTACTAAAACATAGCAGTGATTCCACATAGAGACTAGTGGTCCACTTTAATCTGCTGAATGAAGTTCCATAGTTTCTTGTTTCTCTTCTAGAAGTAAGTAAATGCTCTTGAATGCTAACACTACTAGAGAAGCAAGCCTGTCTGAGAAACTGTGTTTTGAGTAATGCCCACAACATGATGCCGATGTGGGTTGAAACTCTGATCTTTTGGTCACAGCATCTCAGTCTAATCATCTGAGCTAAAGCCTTTTCAATTCAATTTTTCTATTATCGTCCTTTCTGCTAGCAGTAGTAGTGAATTGAATCAGTGCGTGGATTTTTTATTAGGTAAGCTCCTTATTAATTTTCTATTAACTTGTCAATATTGTTTGAACTAATTCTGTGAATTTTTCAGGGCACTCTCACAGCAATCAGGGACTGGTTTAGAGACTATAAGATACCTGATGGAAAACCTGCTAATAGGTTTGCTCTTGGCAACAAGCCAGCAAACAAGGTAATTGCTTTCTCAGGAGTTTTTGGTTGAATGTGATGTATTTGAAGATCCTTGTTTCTATTTCCTCTTAGTTCTGGATGGGCGTGCTAATGGTCGTTTTACCTTGCACTATCAGGATTACGCTCTTAAGATTATTACGGAAACCAATGAATCTTGGGCAAAGCTGGTCAAGAGATCAATCGCTGCTGGTGAGCTTTCACTTGTATAGTGATTAATAGAGCTCTTAAGCCTCCTGCTTGTAACCTAAACTGGACATGGAAAATGTCCCCATGATTGTACTCTTTCGTCTGGGGTGGAAGCCAATTCATATTTTAAAGAAAGACTTCTTTGTTATAAGCTACTGTTTTTCATTTATCATCAATAATTTTGTTCATCCAGTAGCATTTGTAAGTTATCCAGAACGAAAACAAGTGTATTGACATATGATTTAATCTTCATTCTCCAGATGCATCAATTGAAAATTAGAACTGGGTCTACCTTCAGCTTCTTGCAATGTTTTGTCAATAATCTTATTAGGCAACGAAAATTCTGAGCTAATGTCATCTAAATATCAAATTTTAAAGAGTTATGATATTTGAAGAATCTTTTGATTTCGGACCTGATATGAACACAATCGATAAGAAGTCATCCTATTCTCTTTTTCTCTACTAATCTAAGGAAATTATTTTTAACAAAACAAAGCAAAAAATAGAACTACAGAAATGAGATACAATATAATGTGGTCAATTATGGGGTATGCTAACCTTAATGCAGAAGTTACTTTTGATGATTCTAACCTGTATGAACAAATTCAACTACTCTTGATGGATTTGCAACATTATTTACACAGAGATAAGAATCAAAGAATTTACATTAAGCCTCGGAGGAGGACAGAGTTATATGGTACATGTGCCAATGGGAGGTGGCAGGTACAAAGGTGAAATAGTCGAGGTACGTGCAAAACCGGACCCAAAAACAACCATTATCCGGAGAAAAAGAACCAAAGAATTTACATTTCATTTGTCCAGTAGCATCACAACCAAATACTAGGAGGATTCAACAGGGACGTCAATTGGTTCATTACTTTTCTCCTTGAGCAATGGTTGTGACCTTGCTCTCTCAGCATCACTTATTTGATTCTCACTATCTTCGTTGGATCTATCTACACTGTGAAGAAAGATGCCTACACATAAAAAGTGCATTAAAAAATATCATTAATAACCACCCTAAATGTATTGCCAATGACATCAAGTCGGACTCATTTCAAGGATAAAGATTTGGATTCTGAGGCGTTCAATGAGTACAATATACCTATAAACCATATTCCAGCCGCTATAAGTAGAACTGATGTCAACATCAAAGCAGTGACCCTCCAATTGTTAATGTGATCCTGTACAAGAGAAAACATAGGAGCATATTGATCAATGTTATCAAGAACCATAAAATGAACGACATAGTTGCAATTATAACTTTTACTACTGCTACACCAATAATTGACCTTTTCCAGAATCAATTTAACGGTTAAACTAGTTATTGGAAATCATCCTACAGACTTCATGTCTTTCATGTACTATAAGTTGAACCGAATATTTTCTTTTGACAAGGAACTCTATAAGTGCAACTACTAATTTTTTGTTCAAACAAAAGCAGCCTTGCACTTCCACATTCTTGTGACTATTGGAGGAGAAAAGAAGATTATCATGGGAGAAAGAGAACAATCTTGCACTTGTAACACATGGTACCCTATTTATCAAAGCCACCATATTTCAGATTGTATGCTATTTTATTCACTGCTATGTGAAGAGGGAACAAAAGCAAATTCATTTTTTTCCTTATTTCAAGCGTTATTCATTATCTGCCAAAGAGGCAACCACCAACTGATGATTCGAAACAGCACAATGGGAACAATCACTAGGCCTCTTCCCTCTACAAAATATTGTGTCCTCACAGAACTTCAAAACTAGAATGTTCGATAAACAATGAAAGCGGGCTGAATGAAGCTTTCACTGTTCTCTGCCGTCGGAGGTACGAATAGCCTCCACCCGCAGGGAGGAGTAAAACTTCAGTGACAATGCTGCAGATAGCCGGCACACCATAACAAATGGTAAGGCTTGATTGCAATGTGTGTATATACAAGAGAAAAGGGAAAAAAACAAAAAGGGGTTTTGGGGTTGGGGGGCTTAATCGGAGAAAGGAATGGGAAGTAGTTTGCCGGAGAAAGAAATGGAGAAGAGTACGCTCAAGAATCAAATTGAGAGGAATAGCCCGAAAAAGGTAAACAAAACAGAGGATCTGAATGATGAGGTTAGGAACATTAAGGAAAATAAAAAATGGGGACAACGCTAACAAGTATTAAAGCCATGTATAACATTAGCAAAGCTCATAAAAATGTGTCTATCTTTTGAAACGGAAAAAAGAACTCTTGAAAGAGAGAAAGATATAAGTTGCAAAACAAGATCAACAAGCAAGCTCAAACCTGGACAACCCCCACAAGAGGAGACGAAGGAACATCACCAAATATGTGGATTGAAACAGTAGACATCGCCATAGCCAGTGGTCTCAAACCTGGATTGACGGAATGGAGACAGACATAGTTTACAGGGCCCTGCATCAGATGCTTTAATGTAAGATGAAGTAAAGCTCGAAACAAAAAGTATCAACCCTAAAATACAACTAATTATACATCTTAACTAAGTGAAAGCCAATTACACTTTTGAGAACTTCAAAAGAACGGAAAAAAGGATGTATGGGGGATATGATCAGTCATCCAAACAATTTTGTTAGTTAAAAAACGTTTTTTTGCCTAAACAAATGACACACTTCATCATATTTATTTATAATATAAAGTAAAGGAACCGAGGAAATTAGAGAAAAACCATTTTGCAGAAAGCATTTCCAAATATTAAACTCCATTGAACTAGTGTACAAAGAAGTAGACAAATTTACAATAAAGAGTACTGGATTAGATTAATAGAATTACCTGTGTTGCAAATACAAGCAGTTCTCCTATTGCAAAAAGAGGGATGAAAGCATATAAACTCTTAAAACAAAAGGCAGCAAAGCAAAATATTGCTCCAAGAAATGTTGCCACTGAGAGAAGCTGCATTACAAAATAGTGACATCATTAGCAGCAGGGTTTTGAAGGATTCAAATGAAAACACCAGAAGAGAAGATATGTCATTAACATAAAAAATGAACATCATAGATCATCCTTCTAAAAATGGCGAATTTGAGAAAATCGAAACAGGGTGCAAGAGTTATACAAGTCAAAAGAATCAGTTCTTCTTTGATAATTTTAACCCAGATTGAGAAAGTCTTGTTTGTTTTGTATTTAGCAAAGAATGAATGATCTTCACTTTGGACACTGGATTAAATGAGAAATATTTCTAGAGATTCAACAGAATCTTAGGAACAAAGTACCCCACCTTAAAGGCATTGGATATTGTGGATGTCATTCGATCCAAAACAAAGCCTCCAGCCAAGGTTCCGAATATTCCAGATATAACAGTAATACCTCCAAACATCATGTCTGCATTTTTCTGCAGAAACACTAATTACAGATCAGCTAACATGTACTTAATGCTTTTGTGGTATTTGATTGGTTCACGTAAAGCTGAACAGCATAACCAGATGATGCAAAACAAAAGAATGTCAGTGGATGAGGCATGATCAAGTTGAGCTCATTTCACTGGTACATTGAAACAACAACATATCCAGTGTAATCCCACGAGTGGGATGGGAGGAGGCAGGATGTGCATAGACCTTACCGCTGCCTTTGTGGGGTAGAGAGGCCATTTCCAATAGACCCTCGACTCAAAAGGAATCTTATTGCTCACTTGTACAAAGCAACTTCCAAAATGTGTAACCAAGGACAGTGAAAGAGAAAAATCAACAGAATAATGCAAGCATAAACTTAACCCTTGAATAGTTGTGAAGCGGGAAGTGGTCTGAGAGCTTACCATATGGTATATGTAATAACCAGCCTTGGGTCCCCAATAGGAATATGCACCAATTACAAAATTATATGCTATGTATCCTGCAAGAAACCACTCAAGTTGAGAATCATAGTGGAGAAACTTAAATAAAAAGTTTAAAGAATAAGTGAGATCTCTTTATTTTAGGAAAGACATCCAGAAAAGGTTCATCAAATTGTTCCAATATTGGGATCCATAGAAGAGATAGCATGAAAAAATTGAAGGTAACAAAAGTTAATAGAATACCTAGGACATTGATGACATAAGTCTTTTCAAGATGAAGCGTTTTCAGATCCTTCCAAAATCTTGCCAACTCATTCAAATTGCTAGGAGCACCTTTCGAACTGTAGAAAGGAGAACAAAGCAAGAAAGAAGTCAACTGAGTGAAAGCAGAAGACATATTGCTCATACTTAATCATGTTTGCCGGATGGGTGATAGATCTTGGCTGTCTTAAGATCATCAATAACATCACAACTTTTATGAAGGTTCCTTACCCATCCTTGGGATCTTCCCGTGTTGATGACAAACCATTGCTACAATTCAAAACAGCTGCATTCACGACAAGAGTTAGGATCAAATAATGGTTCAATCGAGAAAACCATGACAAGTTAAGTGCCTACAGGACACCTAAAGGGGGGAAAAGCTAAGAGACACTGATCAAGTTCACAGATACAAAGCTATTGCTTACTGTTCTTTCACTTCAAGTATCTTTGTATCTAGTGGAAGTAAATGAAAAAGATCAAGAGTAGATCTTTATTTTAATTTCTCCACACAACTGTTTGTCAACGAAGCACCTAACATACTTCCCAACCAATTCAACTTATATTACTAAGTAGTATATTTATTTATATCAAGCCATACAAAGAATGTTATAAGGCTGATACAAATGTAAGAACTGCAAGCTGGCACACATTTATTTATTTTTGGACTATCCTATGCTCCTTTAATTACTAACAAAAGATAATCATGGACAAACTCTAAGTAAAGAAACCTAGAGAGAAGCTTTCCATTTAGCAATTGAGGAGTTCCACTAAGCCCCTAGTTCTTTTATCCATTCAACTATAACAATGTAATATTTTTCTTTTAAAATAAAGATTCTTTCCAACACTATTTTTGCTGACAAAGTAACTAAGTAGAGCACAGAGAAACTCCCAATGACAAAATGCCAGAGAAGGTAGGTCATGCTGAGCAAAAATGATCAAAGTTAGCACAAGAATCACACTACTCTGTTGCCTAAGTAGACAAAATGAAATAGACATTTGTATGATAATAGGCAGTACCTTCTTCTGGGCAAGCAGTCAGAGGAGAAGTTAATGGTTTTTTTGATCCGATATGAGAGAATCCTGTATAAACATTCAAAGAAATATCAGAAAATGCATACAGGATTAGACCAATAGACTAATTTACTGTTACCTTTTAATTGCAATGGTTTCATAAATAAACCTAAAACTGCAAAGGGAAGCATTAGTAATGCCTCAATCCAAAATGCCCAACGCCAGCTAAGATGATTGCCAACCTATCAAAAGTG